AAACCCTGAGGCTGCTCCAAGGGACATAAACCCTGAGACTGCTCCAAGGGACATAAACCCTGAGACTGCTCCAAGGGACTTAAACCCTGAGACTGCTCCAAGGGACATAAACCCTGAGACTGCTCCAAGGGACATAAACCCTGAGACTGCTCCAAGGGACTTAAACCCTGAGACTGCTCCAAGGGACTTAAACCCCGAGACTGCTCCAAGGGACATAAACCCCGAGACTGCTCCAAGGGACATAAACCCTGAGACTGCTCCAAGGGACTTAAACCCTGAGACTGCTCCAAGGGACTTAAACCCTGAGACTGCTCCAAGGGACATAAACCCTGAGACTGCTCCAAGGGACTTAAACCCTGAGACTGCTCCAAGGGACTTAAACCCTGAGACTGCTCCAAGGGACATAAACCCTGAGACTGCTCCAAGGGACTTAAACCCTGAGACTGCTCCAAGGGACATAAACCCTGAGACTGCTCCAAGGGACTTAAACCCTGAGACTGCTCCATGGGACCTAAACCCTGAGACTGCTCCAAGGGACATAAACCCTGGGACTGCTCCAAGGGACATAAACCCTGAGACTGCTCCAAGGGACATAAAACCTGAGACTGCTCCAAGGGACAATTTAGAGAGTTTGACAGACCCCAAAAACAGACCAAAATTTAGCTAGTATCCAATTATACAGACTTTACATATAAAAAGGTGTCTGCTTACCTTATTCTTGTCAAACAGGTACCAAGGACTGTCCGAGAGGTCTGCCAACCTCTTTTCCGTGTCGGAATATTCAATTTATAAAACAAAAGTGACAGAAGCGACAAGAAGCATCCAGGAACAGCTCTTCCAGCCTGCTGGAATCTCCGCTCCCAGACACAGCATGCCGGTCTCTCACGCCGAGGAAAAGAAACAAAGAAAACTCACTCAAAACAATCCAGAGATTGACGCACACTGAGCCGCACTATGGCGTCAAAATAGGGTCTGCTTAAACGTAACCGTAAAGCAGGAATTGTAAACGTCGGTTGTAAGTATTGTAAACATAAGAAAATATTGTAAACGAAAAAACTGTAGCGTAACCGTAAAGCAGGAATTGTAATCGTAGGTTGTAGTATTGTAAACATTAAAAATATATTGTAAATGAAAAAAATTAAAACTTACATTTACGGTTCTGATTTTTCATGTTTCGCTTCAAAAGTTACGTTTACGATTCACAAGTTATGTTTACGATTCACAAGCTACGCTTACGGGTCAAAACTTACGGTTACGATAAATTTTTCATCTGACCCCTTTTTGGAGGGGCGTGTTCAGCGCGCCCATTGGCTGGAGACACCGGATGTTACGTCATCACAAAAGCAAAACACACACCATTCAAAATTCATACAGCCTATGAACATGGTATCGGCCACCTGTATCAATACTTTTAGTTCTGTGCCTATCAAATAAACATATAGCACTTATTCTCACAGAACAGTGGGTTGTAGATAGGAGTAAATGGCTGTCTGTTACCTGGCCTAATATCTATAACTTCCTCATCCAGACATACAGTGTTTATACATGACTGACCTCCTCCAGATCTCCACACCTGCCCGCTCCCTCCGCTCCTCCTATCCTCTCCAGCTCTTGGTCCCTCCTGCCCGCCTTGTCACCATGTGGAATAGAGCCTCTCCAAATCCACCCTCAAAACTCATCTGTTCAGACAAGCCCACTCACTAACATCATAACCACACTCTCCTCTCTCCATGATGCTTTTAACTGTTTTTAAAATACACTTTTTTTACTTGGTTGTAAGGCAACCGTGAGTGTCAAGAAAACAAATTATAAAAAAAAAAACCAAAAGCATATAGATCTATAAATACATACAATTATGTGGACATGTGAAGAATGTGAAATACTTCCACTCTGGGACTGAGTTCTATGTTTTAAGGCTGATGTGCTCCACAGTCAGAGAGTGGGCATTAAGTCAAAGCCTTATGATGCTTATGTTCTGTGCTGTCTGAAGAAGGAGCAGGACACAAGGAGGACCACTGAATGACATTTACTAGTAGCTCTGCACAAAATAAAACACATCCACTTCACGTCTCTCCATGCATTCAGCTCAGCAGTCCCCTCCTCAGATGCAAGGCGCAGTTCTCCTGAAAAAAGGAAAAAGCCACATTAATAAGTAGTTACTACATTTTGAGTGGTATACAGGTTGAAAACTTTTGTTCTCCAGTTGTCTTTGTATTAATGGTAAAAATACAAGTTTGTGATTTTAGCTCTAAAATATTGGTGTGCTCTTCATCCACTCACAGTATCAGTATTGTTGTGACTAGAAGGCTACACAGGCTCACTTATGAACAACTGTTTAGTTAGTTATTTGAAGACTGTTTCTCCTCAGACTAAAACGAAGGAGCCTCCCTAGCTACTTATTTAGCAAAACAGCTAATGTTAGCATTATAGCAACGTCAGCTGTTTGTTATAGCGGCGCTATAAGTGAGCTGGCTTTAACTTGACTGATCATGATTACATCAGGTCACAGCGGGTTCTCTTCTTATAGCGACATGATGTAACCAAGTGATCACTTATGGGTTGGAGTTGGACTCTTTCATTATTAGCTTCTGTAGGACACAGACACTTACCAGCTATGAAGTTTGCTCTTAGCATTTATGTACGCAGGTCTCCGTAGATGGCCTGACGCCTGTTCTTCTTCTTCTGTAGTAACCAGACTGTAAAGATTGTAGCAACGTGCATGTGTTTTGCTTTTGTGAAATCCGGTGTCTCCAGCCAATGGGCACGCTGAGCCCGCCCCTCCAAAAAGGGGTCAGATGAAAAATGTATCGTAACCATAAGTTTTGACCCGTAAGTGTAGCTTGTGAATCGTAAACATAACTTGTGAATCGTAAACGTAACTTTTGAAGCGAAACATGAAAAATCAGAACCGTAAATGTAAGTTTTAAATGTTTTCATTTACAATATATTTTTAATGTTTACAATACTTACAACCTACGATTACAATTCCTGCTTTACGGTTACGTTTAAGCAGACCCTATTTTGACGCCATACCGCACATCCTCCACCAAATCTGTCAGGGATCAACCAGACAGAGACGGATCGTGGTGCACCAAACTCTGGAAGTTTATTTAAGTTTCTCTCAAGTTCCAGTGGTTTCATTTGCTTCTTTCTCTCAGACAGAATGGAGTGAGTACACAGTTTATATAGTCATTGTCACGTCACACATTGAAAGACGTACGTGTCACACAGAGACAGTCACATCATAGTCAAAATAATCAGAGTCCTTGTAGAGTCCTGCACGTAGGCCATATTGCTATCTAATACTAACACGGGCTTAAAGGATAGCCTTGTCTGGAGCCTCTGGCCACAGCAAAGGATGACGAACACATTTTACCGGTTAGCACCATTGCTGAAGGGTCATTATATAGTACTTGAATCATTTTTATGAAATCAGGCCCCAGACCAAAAGAATGCAACAAAGACCAGAAGTAGCGCCACTCTAAGCGGTCAAAAGCCTTCATTGCATCAAGTGAAAAAACACCACAGGGCTGTTGGGTAGTTGTAGCACCATGAATTATGTGAAGCAATCTCCTAAGATTGTCTGAGGCAGTACGTGATTTAATGAAGCCCGTTTGATCACAGTTGACCAATTTGGTCATAAAAGGTTGGAGCCTACGGGCCAAAATTTTCAAATCACAGTTGAGAAGAGACAGGGGCCTATAACTAGAGCATTCCTGTGGGTCCTTATCTTTTTTTAATAATAATGATATTAGTGCAGTGTTTACATCTCTTGAAAAGGATCCAACTTGTAAAGCAGCCTGAACCATATCAAACATCAAAGGTCCAAGATGGTCCCAAAAAGTTACGTACAGCTCTGGTGGTATACCATCAAAGCCAGGGGACTTTTGTTTACGCATATCTGACACAGCCTCTTTTAGCTCAATTAGTGTAATAGGTTGGTTGAGTTTACGCAGGTCTTCATCACTTAATCTAGGTAATTTGGCGTTTTCAAGAAAGTTATTACATGTTTGATCATCATGCAGTACCTCAGAACTATACAATTTAGAATAAAAGAAAGAAAAGACAAAAATTTGCCAACCATTGTCCCTGATGAATGAGATGTCAGAGAACTGCTCATCTAAGTGCAAGTAGATGACTTGGTCTTGCTCCATTTAAGTAGTAATTTTGCCTGGTTTTATGAATTAAGAATTCTGCTTGGCGTTTGAGAATATCATTAAGCTCTTTTTTAATCAAACCATGTTGAATGGCGATATCATCATAACTTTGCTGTAATAGATTATCAAAAACTTTAAGTTTACTTTGTAAAATTTGCAATCTAGCTGTTCTAGATCTTTTGACGTGACAGGCATAACGAATTGAATTAGATTCGTTATGCCTGTCACAAGATTCTGGGGTCAGTGACAGAGCCTTTATTTATAGCCACAAACTCTTTCAGGTCAGCTATAAACTGTTGTCTAAAACCATCACTTTGCAATAAAGTAGTATTAAAGCGCCAGCGTGGAGCACGTGAAGGATATGATGTTAAAGTGACACTAGCGATCACAGCCTTGTGGTCGGATAGAGAGATTGGGCTGTGAAAAACAGCGGAAATGTTTTCAAAGCAGCTCGTAGAAGTAAATAAATAATCAATTCTAGAGAATGATTTATGTCTAGCTGACCTATGAGTATAATCTCTAGTGCCAGGATTCATCATGCGCCAGAGATCCACCAACCCAGTATCAGTGTACCACTGCTTAAGTGCCTCTGAAGCATGCTTTTGATCTAGATTTTGAGAAAGGCCTGTTCGGTCAAGAGAAAAATCTGCTACCGAGTTAAAATCTCCAGCTACCACAAATTTGAAGTTGGGTAATTCAAGCATTATTTTGGTTAAACAATCAAAAAATTCTTTATCATAAGTGTTAGGTGCATATACAGATAAGAAAGCCAAATTTGTCCTTTCAATATACAACTTTGCTATGGCAATTCTTCCCTTATTATCAGACCAACAATCCAAAAATCTAAACTGTGAGTCGCATCACGGGTAGAATGTCAGGCACAATGCAGAGAGGGCGATCCTCGTACTGCAGGTCCCCCGCGCGTTTAGCTGCAGACAACACCGTGGTGACGTCCCTCGAGCGATGAAACTTGATGACTGGGCGAGGGCGGCCATCGGCAGCTGCAGGTGGACCAAATGTGCGGTAGGCACGGTCAATGGAGATGTCAGAGACGGATAACTGTAGAAGTTTCGGGATAAACTTAAAAATAACACAGGGTTAGACACTTCCACAGATTCTCTCAAGTTCAAAATGCGTACATTGTCCCTCCTTGATCGAGCCTGAAGATCCAAAACTTGCGAAGCTAAATCTGAATTGGACTTAATCAGCTCGTTCACTCTGGCTTGCAGCGGCACCGTGTCGTCCTCCAGAGCGGAGATGCGGCTCTCAGCCTCCGCCTGGCGAACCCCGATGGCGTCACACGAAGTCGCCACTTCGTCAATGCGCTTGATAACATTGTTAATTTAACCATCAAGGGACAGCTCCAGCTTGGCAATTGACTGATCCATGGCTGTTTGAGAGCGCCTTGCCTCTGCCGCGATCGTTTCAGAGGTCCACCCATCAGCCCTGCCCCCAGCCTAACAATAGCCGCTAAAGAGATTAAACAACTCTTCTTGAGGCTGCACCCCCGCAAAGCTCCTGGCCCGGACCACGTGTCTCCGGCCACTCTGAGACACTGTGCCAGTGAGCTTACTCCTGTGTTCACTGTCCCCCCGCCCCCACCCTCCGTGATGGACTCCCCCATCACCTCTATGGAGTCCTTCCGTTTCCTGGGCACCACCATCACCCAGGACCTCAAGTGGGAGCCGACCATCAGCTCCCTCATCAAGAAGGCCCAGCAGAGGATGTACTTCCTGTGGCAGCTCAGGAAAGCCAAGCTGCCTGCACTGATGTTGGTGCAGTTCTACACGGCCATCATCGAGTCCATCCTCACCTCCTCCGTCACCGTGTGGTTCGCTGGAGCCACAGTCAGGGACAAACAGAGACTACAGCGCATTGTGCGCTCTGCAGAGGAAGTGATCGGCCGCAGCCTTCCATCGCTGCAGGACCTGTACGTCGCCCGAGCTCGAGGCCGGGCTGGTCGTATCACAGCCGACCCCTCTCACCCTGCACATGGACTATTCCAACCACTCCCCTCAGGCAGGAGACTGCGGTCCATCAGGACTAGAACCTCCCGCCACAAGAACAGTTTCTTCCCCTCTGCTGTTGGACTCTTGAACACTTCTTAACCTGTCCCCCCGCCCTTTATAAAGTCACTTTACTGCCCATCATACGTCACTTTACTTCACTGTACTGCTGTCACCTTACATTGTGTGCACCATGTGCACTTGTATATTGTAAATAGTCACTGTAACTCTATTTTAAATTTAAATGTATTCTTTAGAAGTGTTTGTTATTCTTATTTTTATTATCTCTTTTTGACTGTTGCACTGAGCCAAAGCAATTTCCTAGTCTGTGACCTCCTGTTACTTACGTGGCAATAAAAATGATTCTGATTCTGATTTTGATTCTGAGAGATGTGTTGTAGCAATGTCTCGTTAGCTAGCTCCGTGGTGTTAGCAGCGAGGCTAGCTTCTCTGGCCAACTCGGGAAAATCCTCCGTAGAGTCGCGGGATGGCTCATTTCGTGGCGTTTTTGAGAACGCCATTGTAAAAGCTTTACTGGTTGATTTTAGCTGAATGGATGCGAATTCGAGCGGGTAAGTCTACATTTCCAGAATACAGACAGGGAGTAGACAAAACCACTTGCTATCACGTCGCCACCATCTTGAGAACCCCTGTTCTGTGATTATTTATGATTTTAATGCTTTCTTATTTTGTTCAGCACTTTGAATTGCCTTGTGTATGAATTGTGCTATATAAATAAACTTGCCTTGCCTACTTTGTGTATACAATTGCATGAGACCTACTTGCATTCTCATTATAATGTAATGCAGCAACTTGCAACCTGGGAACAAAAATATATACTTGCATATATATACACAGAACATAAAATAATGTAATACTTTTTGTAGGTATTACCGACATTCAATATATCAACATTCCCTTGAAGGAGAAGCCCACGCTTTTTGGGGAGAATCTGATAATCAGACGAAAGCCTCCAGGGTTGATGTGTGGTACACCGGACTAATTTTTTCCACATCTTTGACAAAGCGCAGGGTACACATGCTGCTGTACCTAGAGCAAAGCATTTTATAGAATGACATTTGAAAGGTCAAATGTCATTTATGTATTGTACATAAAATACAATAATACTAATACTGATAACAAATGCAATACTTACTAGGGTTTGTAGTCAATAATTCCCTTTGACTGACGTGTTCAATATTTGGTACAGAAATCAGACAAAGATTCTCCAAGTTTAACATCTGTATTTAATTTATCTTTACAATCAGATACAGAAATTCCAACAAAGAGTGCTCTTAAAAGCTAATCCATGTCCCTCTCTCCTTGCCCTGTGCTGACCTCCCCCCAGAACTCAAGCCAACCGTTTTTATCTGGACGTCTGATGACGTCACTTGTGGGCGTCTCCCGAATGTTCATTTCGGGTGTGCTGGAGTCCCGTGTCCACTGGGAGGCGTCAGAACGCCGTTGGTGAATCCCCAGTCTGCCTTAAGAGATTAGCCAGATAGTGGTTTGGACTTTGATCTCGCCAGAGAGACAAGAATGTTTATTTCTGGAGTTAATAATTTGTCCCGTTTTGAAAGCTGGTCCTCTTTATGATTCCCGTACTATCTTGTGTCCTTGGGGTTTTTCCTGAGTGCACAGAGGTCTTTTTTGGCTATGATGTCCAAATGGTCAAATATTGTCACATCTGAATAGTGTAGATTTAAAATATACAACAGTTTCCCTCTTTTGACCTGATTAAAAATTAGGTCACAATCCACATCGTCGTTTATCATCAATACTTGTGCTTAGTTCAGGCTTGATATCTGTGAAGAGTTAATACAGAAAGAATACACACACAACAAACCACATTTTAACCATTCCTTCAATACTATTTGATGACTACTGCTGTGTCATTCTGAGTCTTCATCAACCTCGTCTGTAATGTATGCACTAAAACTATTCACTATAGTTTAAACTATTCTAATCTATTTACAAATATGTTTGTGTAAGCTCTCAGTCGTACAGGGATTAGTCAAAGCAAAGGAAGGTTTCTCACCCATCATCTGTACTTCTTAGCAAGTTTTCCCGACGTTTCGTCCTCAACCTGGGGACTTCTTCAGGGAATGAATTCCTTTCTAGATTGTAAGGTCATCATACTGGAGAACGGACAATTAGAGACTGAGGTCTTCAGAAAGTCCACTCACACTGACCAGTACTTGGCCTTTGATTCAAATCATCCGCTACAACACAAACTCGGGGTCATTAGAACGCTTCAACACCGAGCCCACCAGGTCCCCACTAGCTCGGAGGGAAAGAACAGAGAAACCAAACATGTTCAGAGAGCACTTTCCAGATGTGGCTACCCCAAGTGGTCTTTTACTAAAGCCCAAAGGACGAGAAAGGCCAGAGACACAGTCCTACAGACAGAAGAAAGTAGGAGGAGAGGGGTGTCCCTTACCGTATGTGGCGGGAGTTTCAGAGAAACTACAAAGAATCTTTAGGCAACACAAAATCCCTGTGTATTTCAAACCTTTCAACACGTTAAGACAGAAATTAGTGCATCCCAAAGACAAAACACCCAGACACAAACAGAGCAATGTGGTGTATTCAATTAAATGTAGTGAAGAGGAGTGCACTGACCACTATATTGGAGAAACCAAACAAACTCTACAGAAACGACTTTACCAACATCGTAGAGAAAACTCTAGTGGGCCACAGTCGGCTGTTCATCTCCACCTGAAGGCCTCCAACCACACGGTGGATGACACAGAGGTTAAAATTCTGGCTCGGGAGAAGAATTGGTTTGAGAGAGGAGTGAAAGAAGCCATTTTTGTGAGGAAACAAAAACCTTCTCTTAACAGAGGAGGAGGGTTAAGATTTGTTTTGCCTCGCATCTATGACGACATCCTAAAAACAACGCCCTAACTTGGGACAAGGTCAGTGACATGCTAATGAGTTAGGAGGGGTGAGACCTGCACTCCACTTGAGCATCCCAGCAGACAATAGGTCTGTGACATGCTAATGAGTTAGGAGGGGTGAGACCTGCACTCCACTTGAGCATCCCAGCAGACAATAGGTCTGTGACATGCTAAGGAGTTAGGGTCGTTAGCCTCAGCAGGGTCGTTAGACCTGCTCCCTTCTACATCAAGCAGACCTGAGATTGTTTACGAGTTAGTATCAGGATTAGGGTGTGGCTTACCACACCCATAGGTTATAAATCTCCAACGCGCGGTCCGAGAATTCATTCCCTGAAGAAGTCCCCAGGTTGAGGACGAAACGTCGGGAAAACTTGCTAAGAAGTACAGATGATGGGTGAGAAACCTTCCTTTGCTATTTACAAATATGTTTGCATATTTTGCTTTTATTGAGCCCTATTCTTAAACATATGTTTTTATCTAATAAATCTGTCTATACTGTGGTTTGCTGTCATTATCAGTGGCTTTGTGCCATTTTGTGGGGCTTTGCTCATTTTTCCAAACACATTTTGTTGAACCAGGAAGTGCTGTCACTTCCTCCTCTCAAGACAGTTTGGGATGAATGTACATCGTTAATCAAATTGGTATTATCCTTACAAGAGCTAATCTATTTTAGCAGGTTTCTCTGGGGTCAGTCCCTATACAACGGTATTTTGATTCTCTAATCTGTTGCTGACAAATCGACAGCTCTTAAAATTCTCAAAAATACCTAAATATCTACTTTTGTGCTATATCCAAATACATCAAAATGCTTTTAAATGTTTTTGAATCTCTGTTGTTTCTAATCTATCTCATTAATCTATCTCATTAACTTTTGGCATTGTTAACATTCCCCTATGTTTGAAACAAGCGAATTTGACAGTATCTAATAAAACTGTGCATAAACTAATGAACTTTATCTACCTTTGAAGTAAATACTTTTGGACATAATATGAAGGAAATGGTCCTTTTACCGTTTGACATTAGCCTTGGCTAAAAATAATCTCTATTTTTGAAAGCATCTATTTATTTCTACTCTATTGTGACTCCAAAGTTCAGTTGTTGCTTGAGCCAAAGCATATTCCCAATTTGTGAGTTCTGTCACTTTCAATGGCTGTAAATAATTATTTAATAAACAAAAGCACATTCATGGCTTCTGTCCGCTGCTTATAGCTGTTTAAAGAGTTGTCCCAAACTTAATATGTGTAAATACATCAGCTGTTTGTAATAAACAATAACATTTAACCTGTTCTCCAATGGAGCAGCTCAGAAGCTGCGTCAAAAGCAATGTTATATTTGAGCTATTTTTAGATTTAAAATTTTGTTAAAGCCTGTCGTTCTATGTCTGCATTTTAATACTACTCTCTATAAACACATCTGCACTAGTTCCTACAAATGTGGAAAACAGAAACATCTAAAATCTGACTCCATTTGATTCCTTTTTACTCTAATTATTAGAACAATTTGACCTTATTGATACTTATTTTCACAATAGAACTATTTTGATTATTCACTCCTGTGGACTCACCACCTGCAGGAGGATCAGTGAGGGGCTGGTGCTCTGTGTACTGGGTGCAGCTCTGACTGCCACCCCCCCCGACCCAGAAATGGATTAAGGGGAAGAAAATGGATGGATGGATGGATGGATGGTTATTCACTAGTCTAACTATTATTACTATGGTTTATTCTGACACCTCTTCTTAGCGACCTTTCAACCTATAGCTCCTTGAATCCAATGACATTATAGCTCCAGACTATTTCATTCTATTCTATTATTATTATTATATGATCTATTATCTTAAAGAGTAGATCTGTTTGATGTTATAAGCGTTATTTCTCCTTTTGAATTTGCACAACACTAAATTTAGAACGACCCCCTATGGGACAAATAAAGAATTTTATTTCATTTTGGCAACTCCGAAAATTACTTAATA